CCCATAGTAAAAGTAACAAGCAAAGCTACATGTGGCTTTTCTTGTTTTAAATACAACACACCCTATTTTGAGAAGGATTTTTGGATTCCTCCTTAGCACATTTTGTAAAAAATAAAAATAATTAAATGAAAATGAAAAGAAAGCATTTGACACTTTGTGTTATAAATTAGCTACTCAGTGAAAAAAAAAGCCTAATAAAAAAACAAAGAAAAAAGTAAGGACGAGACCTTATTCATAATGGATTCACAATTTTGTGCTTACATTGTTCTGCATTTTTGAGGTGCATATCTGACTCGCTTTGTAATGTGTGGACATGTGTTGTAATTTCTATCCAAAATACTTATAATCCGCTTTGATACACGAGAAAACTAACACGACCTTTTTTTTTTGCTAATGCTTGTTAACGCATATAAACAATGGCAGACCTCTGCAGGTGCATTAATGAATGTTTCAATTTAGGGATATAACAAGCCCTAAAACTGGCCATACGTTGATTGAAATTCATCCGGTTCAGCAGAGATGGGATGAATTTTGATCAATATCTGGCTGCTCAGATCAACCAAAGTCAATCTAATAACCAAATTCTGTTCAGCGGGACTGTTGGAAAACTTTCATTCAGTCAGAGCCTGCAGCCAATCAGCTACAGCACTGATCAGTGTATTCTGACAGCAGAAGAGTCCCCTATACCGATCAGCCATAACTTTATAACCCCAGACAGGTTAATAACATTGATTGGTTACAATGAAACGGGAAAGTTAATGGGATATATTAGACAACAAGTTATCATGTTGTCTCTGAAGTTGAAGTTGATGTGTTAAGAGCAGGAAAATTGGCATTGCAGTTTGTTGTGTATGGCGCTGCGTAACCGCAGACTGGTCAGGGTACCCATGCTGATCCGTGACCACAGCCAAAAGTGCCTAAAATGGGCATATGAGCATCAGAACTGGACCACAGAGCAATTGAAAAAGGTGGCCTGGTCTAATACATCAGTTTTCTTTTACATCATGTGGATAGCTGGGTGCGTGTGCATCCCTAACCTGGGAAAAGAGATGGCACCAGGATGCAGTATGGGAAGAAGGCGAGTTGGCAGAGGCAGTGTGATGCTTTGGCCAATGTTCAGTTGGGAAACCTTGGGTCCTGCCATTCATGTCGAAGTTACTTGACATGTGCCACCTACCTAAACATTGCTGCTGACCAAGTACATCCCTTATTGGAAACGGTATTCCTTGTAACAGTGGCATCTTTTTATTTTTTTTTTAACAGAAAAGTTTTTATTCATCAAAAAAAAAAAACCACTTAATACATAGTACTGTAAGGAGCAAAGCACATAAAACTGAAAATCTTAGTCAAAAAGAAGACATTCAAGGATACAAGGACATCCAATATATAATCCGCAATGCAGAAAATCTGACTCAAGGATAATATAGTCCATTCAGAAAAAGAAACATCAAAACCTTTAAGGACCATTCCCAAGATACCTCAACAGGGGTTAAGGAGGTGATTTGTTAAATAAGCTCCAACTCCACAGGGATCAGGGGAATGTTAGATGATACCCACGGTCTCCTTCCAGAGGGTATCAAGGGAAAAGGCGGGAAAAAAAAAGACATAGGGAAAAGAAGGAGGAAGGGAGGGAAGGAAGGGAGAGGAGGGGGGGTTGGTGGAACTGAGAGAAGAGGGAAAAAGGCTGGGAGGAATAACACCTCAGAAAGTAGGAAGCAAGAGGGAAAGGATCCCCAAAAGCAGCTGGCATCTATAGGCAGGAAATATATCCTACCACACTGAAAAATGGTTCAAGAATGGTTTGAGGAGCACAGCAATGAGTTTAAATTGCTGACATGTCCTCCAAATTCTCTAGATCTCAATCCAATCAAGCATCTGTTGGATGTGCTGGAAAAACAAGTCCGATCTATGGAGGCTCCACATTGCAACTTACAGGACTGAAGGATCTGCTACTGGCAGCTTGGTGCCAGATACCACACCATACCTTGACCAGAGGTCTAGTGGAGTCTATGCCTCGATGGATAAGGGCTGTTTTGGCACTCAATATTACAGTTGTGGCCAAAATTATTCAACCCCCAGAAATTGAGTGTTTTGGCCAGTTTGACATTGCTTTTGATCATTCAGTCATCTTGCTTACATTTACATTAAAGAGGCACTTGTAGGTCAGACAAATATAACATAACAGTTATAATGAAATAACCACAAATGTCTTTTCTGTGCTCACAGCATTATCAGTTTTATTCAACCCCCAAGTGACATTCAATCTTAGTACTTAGTACAGCATCCTTTTACAGTTATAACAGCTTTTAAACGTGAAGCATAGCTTGACACAAGTGTCTTGCAGCGATCTACGGGTATCTTCGCCCATTCTTCATGGGCAAAGGCCTCCAGTTCAGTCACATTCTTAGGCTTGCGCACTGCAACTGCTTTCTTTAGTCCCACCAGAGGTTCTCAATCGGATTTAAGTCTGGTGACTGCGATGGCCACTCCAAAATGTTCCAGCCTTTCCTCTGCAACCATGCTCTAGTGGACTTGGAGGTATGCTTGGGATCATTGTCCTGTTGAAAGGTCCAACGTCTCCCAAGCCTCAGGTGTGTGACGGACTGCATCACGTTTCCATCCAATATCTCCTGGTACTGAAGAGAATTCATGGTACCTTGCACACACGCTGAAGCTTCCCTGTACCTGCAGAAGCAAAACAGCCCCAAAGCATGATTGACCCTCCACCATGCTTCACAGTAGGCAAGGTGTTCTTTTCATCATAGGCCTTGTTCTTCCTCCTCCAAACATAGCGTTGATCCATGGGCCCAAACAGTTCTAATTTTGTTTCATCAGTCCACAGAACACTATCCCACAACTTTTGTGGTTTGTCCACATGGCTTTTGGCATACTGCAGTCGACTCTTCTTATTCTTTGGAGACAGCAAGGGGGTACGCCTGGGAGTTCTGGCACGGAGGCCTTCATTACGCAGTGTGCGTCTTATTGTCTGGGCTGAAACTTCTGTACCCACATCTGACAAATCTTTTCTCAGTTCCTCAGCAGTCACACGGGGACTTCTCTCCACTCTACGCTTCAGGTAGCGCACAGCAGTCGAAGTCAGCATCTTCTTTCTGCCACGACCAGGTAGCGTTTCAACAGTGCCCTTTGCCTTGAATTTGCGAATGATGCTTCCTAAGGTGTCTCTTGGTATGTTTAACATCTTTGCAATCTTCTTATAGCCATTGCCCTTCCTGTGAAGAGAAATCACCTCTTCTCTTGTCTTCCTGGACCATTCTCTTGCCTTCACCATGTTTGTAACCACACCAGTAAATGTCTAGAAGGAGCTGAGTATCACAGTCATTTTTAAAGCTGCCTAATTGGTGCTTATTATGCTTGATTGCTGCTCGGTGACATCCACAGGTGTTTTCAATACCTGATGGAAAGCACCTGTATGAACCTCTGTTCTTCAGAGTGGTAGTCTTTAAGGGGTTGAATAATTGTGGCAATGAAGAAACCACATAAGAACCATTTACTACTGTATTACATAAACAATTGATGTCATTTTAGTTGCATTTGGGTAGTTACAACGTCCTTGTAGGATTTGATTCTGAATACAATTCCAAATGTACACTAATAGTCCCTAAACCCCTTTACAGCATTGGGGGTTGAATAATTTTGGCCACAACTGTAGATGGGTGGTCATAAAGGTTATGGACTATCAGCTTGGGTCATGGGTCATGTACAGGCATGGGTCATGTATGGGCAACTTTACTCTTATACAGGCTTTTGAGATATCCACTATGCCCCGTGATGTGTGGTTGCTGCCTGGATGGCATGTTTCTAGCTCTTTTTGCACATAATTTAATATTCACACAGCCCAGCCATTCCAATACCTCTATTTTTTCCATGGCAATAGGTACAACATGTTCCCCATTATACAAAAATACCTGTACAAGCAGAATGGAAAAAAAAACAGGTAATTCTTATGAGCAGGGCCATCCTAACCCTCTTGTATTGAATGGTATTGTGACTGTACTCTCTCCGTTACCTTATAAAGGGCTGTGTAAACTGTTGGCGGTATATAAATCCTGAATAATAATGATAGTTATTATAATTTACAAAGATGTTGGTTTTGCTCTCTTTGTTGTAAAATTGATCATTCTGTTTTTCCTGCAGCTGTTCCCCCTCCCAGTCCTGTTCAGTTTATCTAAATGTAAGAAAAAAAAATTAACTTTTCTGAACCATAAGGAATTACTGAGACATGTCAAGACGTAAACAGAAAGGAGGAAATAAAGGAAAACAATTAAAAAGTGCTGCCAAAATACTCCATAAACGTCATAATACGTCTGGAGAACATTTGACTTGCGAAACTGGAATAGTGGCTTCATGAATAAGATGATGTATTGTTAATCTGAGCACCTGCCTGAAATCCTGATTACTTTGTCCTACATTCCACTAGGTCAGTCTGACGCCAGCATCATGATTCACTGTGGTACTCATCGGGGTTGGATTTACTAAAGGAAAAAATACTTTTCCAGGGAAGTTGCACTTTGCAAGGGAATTATCCCCAGAGCTTAGTGACTTCCATCATCCAATCCAAAAAAGGCCTTTATTTTTTTCTTTGATTTATTATTATTTGTAAAGTGACATTTTAGCACACATTCACTAAACTCTAGGAAAAATCCTTTGCGAAGTGCAACCTACCTTGCAAAGCAAGCACTAAACCTCACTGCCTCCTTATTTTTGCCTAAATTAAATTTGGCTTTTTGTGCTCTAAATTGAAAAGTGCTGGAAAACAAAAAATTGTAGTAGTTCCCCCAAATCAACTACCTCTAAAATTCTATAACTGGTATCTGATTGATGCTTCTAATTTTTAAAATTGGAACACTGCCACAACTTGTATTATACTGGCATTAACCACCTTCCGCCCACCATATAGTACAATGACGGGCGCAAGGTGGTTCTCTCGTTCTGATAGGACATCATATGACATCCTTCCAGCAATCGCCGGTGCGCTGTGTCCCTCGGACACAGCGGATCACGGAAAGAGCTGAAGATGTCAGCTCGGTCATGTGATCAGCTGTGTCCAATCACAGCTAATCACATGTAAACATGGAAATGCCGGTTATCAGCATTTCTCTCCTCTCGAGCTGTCACACTGACAGCTCGAGAGGAGAGCCGGTAATCGGCTTTCCACGGAGGGGACATGTACACTGATCATCAGGGCACTAATAATCAGTGTGCCCTGATGATCAGTGTGGCCCCAAAAGTGCCACCTGTCAGTGTCCATGAGTGCCAACAGTCAGTGCTCATCAGTGCCACGTGCCAGTGCCACATCAATCCCACATATCAGTGCATACCAGTGCACATCAATGCCACATATCAGTGCCCATCTGAGTTGTCTTTCAATGTCAGTGCCAGTCAGTGCCACCTATCAATTCCAATCAGTGCCACCTATCAGTGCTGCCAATCAGTGCCACCTATCAGTGCCAGTCAGTGTCGCCTTTCAGTGCGCATCAGTGCCGCCTATCAGTGCCAGTCAGTGCCGCCTATCAGTGCCAGTCAGTGCCACCTACCAGTGCCAGTCAGTGCTGCCTAACAGTGCCAGTCAGTGCTGCCTATCAGTGCCGCCTATCAGTGCCATATATCAGTGTCATGTATCAATGCTGCCTTTCAGTGCCCATCAGTGATGCCTGTCAATGCCCATCAGTGCAACCTACCAGTGCCTCCTCATCAGTGCCACCTATCAGTGTCCATCAGTGCAGCCTATCAGTGCCCATCACTGCAGCCTCATTAGCGCACATCAGTGAAGGAGAAAAATCACTTATTTACAAAATTGTATAACAAAAACTAAGAAAAAACGTTTTTTTTTTCAAAATTTTCAGTGGTTTTTGGTTTGTTTAAGAAAAAATAAAAATCCCAGAGGTGATTAAATACCACCAAAATAAAGCTCTATCTGTCACAAAAAAATGATAAAAATTTCATATGGGTACAGTGTTGCATGACCGCACAATTGTCATTCAAAGTGTGACAGCGCTGAAAGCTGGAAATTGGCCTGGGTAAGAAGGGGGTGAAAGTGCCCTGCAGGCTAGTGGTTAAAGTGGTTGTAACGACTAAACAGATGACATTTTGTTTTTTATTATAATAAAATCCTGTTTTCACCCTTTTTACATTCTCTGTGGCATCTCAGTGCTGCTTATCTCCTGTAACATCTTTGCACTCCAGTGATGACTTCATGGCATGCCTTTGGGCAGGTTTCCTGATGGTGACAACAGTTGACAATGCCTACATAGTGGGGTGGATTTGCTAAAGGTAAAGAGACTGTGCACTTTGCAAGTGCGATTGCACTAATTTACCCAGAGTTTAGAGAATGCAGTGGAGTTTCACTTTGTGAAGAATACCCAATCAGGTGCAAAGAAAATTTTTTAAAAAATGCTTTTTCCCTTGAACACGATTGGATGATGGAAATCGGCAGAGCGTCAACATGTGCACTAAGCTCTGCTTTAGTAAATCCTCCCAATGTGTGTGTTGAAATGCTCGGGGTGCTCATCAGCTGTGGGCACTATGACCCATATTTGGGACATGTGCCCCCTTATCCGTTCCTTTTGATCCAAAATCCTTCAAATTTATAACAAAATTGTGGACAGCCAACCCTCGCATCACCCTTTTATTGATTCTACCTGGATCACTAAAATGTATATAAAAGAACTTATTGCGCCATATGCTTACCACCACTCAAACCATTATAGCAAGGCATTGGTGTAAAACAAATACTTCTTTTATGACAGAGTGAGTATGTGAGATGAATGATAGTAAGTCCATGGAAGAGATGCTACACACAATGGAAAGGGATTCAGAACCATTTCCAGTGTCTTGGTTCCAATGGAACGTCAGCTTGTTCAATCAAGCTTTGACAATAAAACCTGGAATCTGATTGGTTTCTGTGTAACGTTGCATCAGATTTTGAACTTTCCAGTTTTAGTAAATGACCCCCAGTGTGTGTTCAAATGACCACTTGTAGTCTCCATCGTCATTCTATAACAAGAAGTACCTGAGCTAGGACCCTCATGGAAGGATTACAAAGCATTCTTTAATGAAAGCTGTGGATTTGAAAATATTGATTTGAAATTTGACTTTTGAAATGATAATAATGAGTATACAGGATTTAGGTGATTGAGTTTACATATACTGTAAAGAAAATTTCTATTTTATGCTTAACTGGTTCCCAACCACGCTATAGCCGAAGGACGCCTACAGCATGGTTGTGTAATCCTGAGACGACAGCCATAGCCATCATTCCAGGACACACAGATCACGTGGTACAGTAAACGGCTAATCACGGCGGCTTTTTACCACGTGATCAGCTGGGTCCAATGACACAGTGATCACCGGGTAAATAGAGTTGCTGGTTATCGGCTGCACTTTCCTCATGCTGTGACAGAGAACCGGCAATTGTCAGCGAAGGGATTGGCACTGATCATCAGGGCATTGATGATCAATGCCCTGATGATCAGTGCCCATCAGTGCCACGCACCTCCATCAGTGCCACCCACCTTCAGTGCCACCCACCTGTGCCCATCAGTGCCACCCACCGGTGCCACTCATTGCCACCCAACTGTGTCACTCAGCAATGCCACCCACCTGTGCCCTGAAGTGCTACCCACCTGTGCCCAGCAGTGCCACCCATCAGTACTGCCTAGCAGTGCCACCCATCAGTGCTGCCCATCACTGCGGCCTATCAGTGCAGCATCATCAGTGCCAGCTCATCAGTGCTGCCTATCAGTGCCTCCTATCAGTGCCACCTATCAGTGCCTCCCATCAGTGCCCATCAGTGCTGCCTATCTGTGCCACCTCATCAGTGCCCGTCAGTGCTGCCTATCCGTGCCCATCAGTGCTGTCTATCAATGCAGCCTCATCAACACACATCAGCGAAGGAGAAAAATTACCTGTTTGCAAAATTTTATAATAGATACAAAGAAAAACTTTTTTTTAAATTTTTTGCTCTTTTTTTGTTTATAGCGCAAAAAATAAAACACCCAGCAGTGATTAAATACCACCAAAAGAAAGCTCTATTTGTGTAAAAAAAAAGCTAAAAATTTCATATGAGCGCAGTGTTGCATGACCACGCAATTGTCATTCAAAATGTGACAGCTCTGAAAGCTGAAAATTGGCCTGGTCAGGAAGGGGGTATAAGTGCCCGGTAGGCAAATGGTTAATCTATTTTATTAGTTTTCACAAAAGTACAAAGGAGTACAAAAAGAATACAATGGGAACAAACCAGATAAAAGTTACAATTTAAATAGAAGCCTACTGTACAAACAGGTTCATAGACAGGTAGTATAATATCATATGTGCATTTAGGGAAAACATTACATACAGTGGCAAGAAAAAGTATGTGAACCCCTTGGGATTACGTGGAGTTTTGCATGAATTGGGCATAAAATGTGCTCTGAACGTCATCTAAGTCACAACAATAGAAGAAAACAGTCTGCTGAACATAATACTACACAAACATTAGATGTTGCCATGGTTTAATTGCACATAACATGTAAACATTCACAGTGCAGGGAGGAAAAAGTATGTGAAGCCCTAGCTTAATGACTTCTCCCAGAGCTAATTGGAGCCAGGAGTGAGCCAACCTTGACTCCAATCAGTGCGATGATATTGAATGTGTTGCTGACAGCTGTCCTGCCCTTAAAAAACACACACCTGTTTTGGGTTTACTGGTTTCAAGAAGCACTGTCTGATGTGAACCATGCCTCGCAGAAAAGAGCTCTCAGAAGACCTACCATCAAGAATTGTTGACTTGCATGAAGCTGGAAAGGGTTACTAAAGTATCTCCAAAAGCCTTGATGTTCATGTGTCCACGGTAAGACAGACTGTCTACAAATGGAGAAAGTTTAGCACTGTTGCTACTCTCCCTAGGCGTGGTCATCCTGTAAAAATGACTGCAAGAGCACAGTGCAGAATGCTGCATGAGGTAAAGAAGAATCCCAGAGTGTCAGCTAAAGACCTACAGAAATCTCTGGCACATGCTAACATTTTTGTTGACACATCTACAATAAGGAAAACATTAAACAAGAATGGAGTACATGGGAGGACACCACGGAGGAAGCCATTGCTGTCCAAAAAGAATATTGCAGCACGTTTGAAGTTTGCAAAAGAGCACCTGGATGTTCCACAGCACTACTGGCAGAATATACTGTGGACAGATGAAACCAAGATTGAGTTGTTTGGGAAGAACACACAACACTATGTGTGGAGAAAAAAAGGCACAGCACACCAACATCAAAACCTCATCCCCACTGTAAAACATGGCGGAGGGAGCATCATGGTTTGGGGCTGCTTTGCTGCCTCAGGGCCTGGACAGATTGTTGTCATTGATGGGAAAATGAATTCCAGAGTTTATCAAGACATTTTGCAGGAAAACGTACGACCATCTGTCCGCCAACTGAAGCTCCGCAGAGGATGGGTGATGCAACAGGACAATGACCCAAAGCATACAAGTAATTCAACAAAACAATGGCTGCAACAGCACAGAATACGCCTTCTGGAGTGGCCCAGTCAGAGTCCTGACCTCAACCCGATTGAAATGCTGTGGCATGACCTTAAGAGAGCGATTCACACCAGACATCCCAAGAATATTGCTACACTGAAACAGTTTTGTGAAGAGGAGTGGTCCAAAATGACTCCAGATCGTTGTGCAGGTCTGATCTGCAACTACAGGAAACGTTTGGTTGAGGTTATTGCTACCAAAGGAGGGTCAATCAGTTATTAAGTCCAAAGGTTCACATACTTTTTCCTCCCGGCACTGTGAATGTTTACATGTTATGTGCAATTAAACCATGGCAACATCTAATGTTTGTGTAGTATTATGTTCAGCAGACTGTGTTCTTCCATAGTTGTGACTTAGATGACGTTCAGAGCACATTTTATGCCCAATTCATGAAAAACTCCACGTAATCCCAAGGGGTTCACATACTTTTTCTTGCAACTGTATAGTCCATGTAACAGATATTCCATTTGCATAGACTCATGTGTCAGTAAAGTATCTAAAAAAGTCTATTATACCAAATATTTATCCATTCAATTCCTCCTGCTAGGTCATAGGACTGCAAGGTCCCAATGGAGGGTCTACAGCCAACAAAACTCTTCATTCAAAGCTACTTCTCCCCAAACACACATGAAAATCTGTAAAATATTCCTAATTTGCAAATATTAGGTGGTCAGGACAATATTTGACCAGCATTGCACAGTTTCCCTTGGTACAAGTGATCTTGGATGATCTTGCTGCCTTACCATCTTCTCACCACCCACTAATAATCAAGCCACCAAAGGGGATCTCAATCTTACTGCCTATATCCCTGCTGTGTCTCTCTGTTGTCCTGCTGTGACTGTGGACTTTCTGCATTGATGTAATAGTAAACCAATGTTATCATAATGAGTATACAGGTCCCCTGAAGAAGCAACTGCAAGGTGAAATGCGTCGGTTTCCCTGTTAACTTCTCTGCCTTCCATAATTTACCGCATATTGGAATATTTATGTGGATGATATCTCAGATACTATAATATATATATGGGCCTTGCAGAGCTTATTCTTTATGAGGTACTTTATGTTTGATGGAATTTTTAATCATGTTGTTGAATAAAAATTGCTGAGGGTTTGTGTCTACCTTTTGTGAGGTTATCTTTGGCACCGTAAAGTCCTTTTCTTTGTTTATTTTTCTGTGTTCTACATA